CTATATTTATTTATTGATCTGATTTCTGTTAGTTTTACACAACATTTAGGAAATCTTATAATCCAGCCCTGGTCCCAAATTATTTCATTGCTCAAGAAAGAACCTCTTGCTATCCAGTCATTGGTAGTGTTGTTCACTCTCCCATCCATGAATTGCTCTTTTATAGGTTTCCTGAATGCACTCTTGCAAAACATTTTCCTACCTGTGAATCCTTGTCAGTTCTTTCCCTCTCATCCTTTAAAGTTTTCGACACTTAATACACTTTAGAATTGAATTGTCTTTAGAATTTTGAAAAAATGCAAAAAGTACCCAAGAATCTCTAGGGAGGGTTACAATGCATTGTACTTTTTCATTGTTCCCAACTTGTTCTATTAAACCAAGGATAATGCCTAGGCCTCCCCAAATTTCTGTCTTTGGCCTTCATTTAGCATTCTTCTCTTCTCCCCAGCCATCTCATCCATTCCAGAAGATTTAACCCGTCAGGCAGTGATACCCAGCCCTCTTGCCCTTCCTGTCTCTTAATCTTTGGCTCCTTGCAGAACCTCTCCAGTAGAGCTTTTATTTGTTTAAGGTTTTCTTTCATTAGACATCTCTCCTTATTTTCTGGGGAGAGAAAGCACATCTTTTGGGAAACTGTTTTTTATCTGAGCCCATTAATGGTTTGGAGTTGCCAACTTTCCCAATGCCCAGTCTACAATATGTGAAGTAAAATCAAAAATATGATAAAAAAATTAAGCAACCAACCGAACAGGGAACTCACTGCTATCCTACTCTTCAGATATTGCAATTGTAGCTGGTCTACTTTCCCTTCCACCTTTTTGAGATTTCTTACATTAGTTTCCTGTATAATATCCAGAGTTCTTAATTATAGTTAGTGAAAGGAAGAGGCAAAAATAACTAAGCCATCTTCCCAGAATCAGAAGACTAAGGTATTTTTAAAATTATATATAATATCACAGTGATGGGATATTGTTGAGAACACTTTTGGAAGCTCATCCAGGAGGTCATAGGTGCCTTATTTTAGTGCCATGTGTTCTACTTCTCTGCTATGTTCTTTGCTGCTCTTCCTTTAGCTTACTGGAGCTCCTCCAACCCAAAGGAGAGAAGGAAAATCTTGCAAGTCTGTGACCTGTTCCCCCCCACCACACACTTCCATTGTTTCATAGCAGGACTGTTCTGCACCTCCCAGTTCAGTACAGAGGACAGAGCAGGTGCTGGATAACAAACGGTCAGGTTGAATGAGAAGCAAACGGGGAAACTAAGAAGCATGCTTTTGTTTTTGAAGCTCTAGGGCAGAAGTCACAAACCACTGGCCATGGTAGGGTGGAGCAGATATGTTTTGTTTGGCCCACACAGAGGATATTTTTTTCTAATTGAGTCAAGATTTTAAAATATGATGACTTCACATTTGAAAATAAAAAGCGAGTCTCTAGTTTGCTCTTTTGGGAGAAGTTCTGGCGACACTGGGCCCACATTCCCACATGATAGTTAGCCAGCCAACTCCCAGTTGCCCCTTTGGAAAAGTCGTGTTTTCCTGTTTACCACAGACCTACGCTCACTCTTAGCTCCCTGGCCTACTCCAGTCATGATTCTTCATATCTGGGTCCCTGTGAGCCTCTATGTAGGATCCCTTGGTTAGATCTTGGAGAGAATTAAACTATACTAGTATGTAGAGTATTGCATAATAAGAGACTAGAGCAGGACTTGTTATGTAATTTACATAATCTGCAGGACACCGTGCAAAGTAAAATGTGAGGCCATTTGTTAAAAAAATGCTGAAGAATTACAAGACAGCAACAGCAGAGCATGAAATCTAGAGTGGGACACTTCTAAGTACCAACCTATGCAATCACTCATGTCCCACATCCATGAAGCTGGTCCTGGCTTGGAGGACTTGGTGCTACAAGAGCTGCAGAGGAGAATGGGTGCTTTTCCCTTGCAAAGGTGTTTAACTCACCCCCATTAGGAAGAAGGCAGAAAGCAGCTTCCTGAGCTAAGTGTTAAAGAAACTTAAAAAATGACAACTGTGATCCTTCTTATCGTGGGACCTCAAACTGGCTTTAATCTGATGGGAGACAGGGAAATACATCTACACTCTCATATAAGATGTGTAATAATGGATATTTTTATTAGGGTTTTTGGGGGAGGGGTGGCCTTTAAAAATGGACTTTGACTTATAAGTCTCTCCTCCTGCTCTACCATGATGCCTTTAGCACACAGGCTTCTTTTAATGCAATTTGATTTTTTAACAACCATAAGTGCTAATGTTTTAAAACCCAATGGCCATTTAACATCTTGGATTGGTATGCATTTGATCCTTGCTAAATATATGTTTCTCAGCTCTTTTTATTTTTGCATTTAATACAGTTCAAGTTAAACTATAATTGCAACTTATTGTATATTTTATTCATTCATTTGTTTTAACACACTATTGTTTAAAAGTAGTTTTAGGTTTACTGAAATTGAGAGGAAAAAAAAATAGAGAGTTCCATGTATTCCTTCCTATACCCACACAGCTTTCCCTATTACGTTACTTCATTTACCTTGCTTCTTATATTAGTGTTGTACTATTATTGCAATTGATGAGTCCATATTGACATAACAATATAAACTGCACTCCATACTTCATGCTTCTCTTCATCTTTGCTCATTTCTGATGAAACCACAAGTGATCTATTCATGTGATATTGGACCCACTATAGATCTACTCTGTATCTTTCAACAATTTCATCTCTCCTTTTCCATCTTCTCTTTACCTCTATGTGCTTCATTTTGTGTCATTTATCAGGTTTTCTTTCAGCTAATTTGCTACTTCTTTAGCTGAGTCTAATTGGTCTTACAGGCCTACTGAGTTTTACATTTTAAAGACTATATTTTATTATTTCTAGAAGCTCTGCTAGGTTCATTTTTCAAATTAAGGACTGATTACTTAAATGTTCTGAGACGTTATCTCTGTGTATACATACTTTTCCAGATATTTCTGTAGATTTTATTAACCTGAACTTTTCACACATTTGTTTTTCACAGAAGTGACCTAATTTCTCTATTCCAAGAATAATTGAAAAGAAAGTCCCTATCACTACCACATATGTCACACAAGTGAAAAGGAAAATCTTTCCTTATTAAAATTGTTTACTTGCCATTTATCCATGTAAAAAACAATTGCACAAGTTTTACTATTTCTTCAATTTACAATTGCACAACTATTTTTTACTATGAAGAAATAGTAAAACTTGTGCAATTGTTTTTTACATGGATAAATGGCAAGTAAACAATTTACTACAAGAATATTTATTGAGCACCTACTATGCTTCTGCTACACAGAAGAGGATAAAGTCCTGCCCAATAGAATTCTAGTATTAAAGACTTTGCATTGTGGACACTTGCCTAGGATCTTTGGTTCCCCTTTAAATTCTCTCATCACCCAAGGTCTAGCTCAAATACATCTCCTGAGAAACTTTCCTAATAACCATTGAATTAACTTCTTCTATTTATATTTTTCCATAGCTCTTTCCCAACACTATATATACATAGCATTTTGTTGATACCTCCATGGCCACATAAACCAAGGAGTAGCTCCATATTTATGAATCACATACATAGATATGCACCACAACAACACCATAAATCTTTGATTAATGGAGGAAAAAAGCTGTATTTTCCTCATTTTTGTAACTCCAGTGTCTTGCACATTGCTGGTTTTCAACAAGTACTTTCTAAACTATTTTGACTTATAAATGCACTGTGAGATTTGGAAAAAAACTGTTTAATTTATCATTTAATGGTCTAAGGACAAAATTCCTAACCAAATTCTATTACTATTTATTTGTTGAGAAAATCTTGATAATAGTTTTAATAAAGTTAAAGGGCTGTTGTAAAAGCTTAGAGTTGCATAATATTATATAATATTCCTGAAAGAATATAC